GCACTTCCCCTTGGAGGAGGATATATATATATACACACACATACATATATGCATATACATATATGTATGTATGTGTATATGTATTTGTATATGTATACACATACATATACACACACACACACACACACACACACACATATATATATATATGCATATGCATATGTATGTATATGTATATGTCTATATATATATATATATATATATTATTTTTGTTTATAACTCACGTATCCAAATAATTCATTTATCATGTTGATGGTTGGGGCATGTATCTTTGAATATCATTCATTCGTTTAATCCGTCGTGCTTTACTTTCTTGACATGTTTATGCTTTTATCTGTTATATCAAGAGAGTTTTAGTTGATGTTTTTAATATGACATACAAGATTTGCCTTGCGGTTTTGTGATTCTCATCTTTAGGTACAAATTTGATGATGAGAGGGTCACTAAAGAAGATATGAAGAGAGCTTTAGAGGAACAGTATGGTGGTGAGGAAGAGGTAGCATTCCTGCCTTTTCCTTGGGTTTTCCTGTATTCCCATTTTTATCGTGTTGCTTATCTTCATTTTCCTTCAACAGTTGCCGCAAACAAATCCTGGCTACAACAACACCCCATTTAAATTTACAAAATACTCGAATGCCTACATGCTGGTGTATATACGTGTGGGTGATAAGGATAAGATAATATGTGATGTTGATGAGAAGGACATCGCTGAACATCTTAGGGTAAATTTGTGGACGTGGATCTGGAAATCATTCTATCCTGCTTTGTTGTGATTTTGGACATAAAACATCACACGCTCTATGTATTCCAGATGAGACTGAAAAAAGAACAAGAAGTGAAGGAGGACAAGAGGAGATATAAGGCGCAGGCCCATCTTTATACCATCATCAAGGTTATTGTTTCTAGAGGGCAACTTTCTCATATAAAGATTGATCTCTGCTTTCCCAGAATGAGTGCTGATGCAATTTACCAACATTTGCAGGTTGCCCGAGATGAGGATTTGAAGGAACAGATTGGAAAGGATATATATTTTGATCTTGTTGATCATGATAAAGTCCGCAGCTTTAGAATTCAGAAACAGACGCCTTTTAACCTTTTCAAGGTATCACTTGATCATCTTGTTTATCTGTGAAATGAAATGTGAGTTGGATTTATTTGTTTCTATATACAGGACAATGTAATTTTTTTGTTACATATATGATATAGAAATGTAGAGCAAGAAGGAAGATCCTGTAGCATTTGAGACAAGTGTTGTAAATACAATAGCGCGAAAATATTGAAAAAGAATTAGAAAAGAAATGTGTAAACGGTAAAATTACCAAAACAGAGAGAAATGAGCGCTGTATTGACTGAACAAAGATATTTGCATCTGTATTATTTTAGGGTTTGTAGTTTGATTATGGCACCAAGTAAAATTTGCTCACCTAAACCAATCTCACCCTAAACCTCAATTAAATGCTGCAACTTAATTTGAAACTTGTTAAGCTAACAAACAGGTCTTACGCTAGGTTACATAAGGTCCAAGTTGGAGTGCAAAAGTGCTGAATTTAAAACTTTTTAAAATCAAGACCCCTTCAAGCATATAAATATACAGCAAGTTGAATCCTATTCTCAACAAACTTTCTTGATCCTGCATCTAATTTACTGAAATGTCTGTATTGTTTCGATGCTCTTTTTAAAGATTTAGGTTTGATCATAGAACCAGGTACTTGAAGAGGATATAATGTATAAGTTTGGAATATAGGTTGGACAAAAAGAATTCTACATGTTTGTATAAGAAGTCTACTAGGACAAAATGAATTCTACATGTTTGTATAAGAAGTCTACTAAGTTCAAATTTAAAAGGTAAGTTGTTAGAATGAGTATGAAACCAACTATGATTTAAGGCTCACAATATTGCCGTAAAGACAAATGTCCATAAAATGAATGTAGAAAAAATGAAGACGTTAAATAATTGATTACATTATATTAGTAGATACAGCTTAGGATCAAATGGAGTGTGAAAAATGATACATGTAGCCAATCAAAATTTTGTTAGGAATGAGGCTTATCTTCTTCTTGTTTTGATATTGATTCGATGCAGCAAATGGATGTGACACCAATTGAGTATGAACTAAGAATGATTTAGATTGGGTATATCAATGGAACAAGCCAAGAGAGGATGATTTAGACCAATATTAATTTAGCCTTACGTGTTGGTGTGCTGATATATATAGAGTAATTGATATAATTTTAATGTTTTCTTTAAATTCTTGCAAAACACTGTCAGGCCGACAGATCTGAATACCTAACCTCACACCTGAGACCAGGATTGTTGAGATGGATGCTTTTGAATTCACATTTGACACTTTGCCTTTGAGTATATAGAATGTGAAAAGGATATAGTTTCTTCTTCCCCTGATCGCACCCACTGCCACCTTTTCCACGGGCTGTATACCCAAACTCACCCCCCTCCCACACATACACTACTGCCTTCGCGGGCATTGCTTCAGCGGCCAACTAACACCTCCACCTCCTCCTCCACAAATCTCCAATCAGTCTATTTAGTCCAACCACAGCAACTCAGTAATGATATGTTTTATACTGATACCCATACAAATTTATATCTTCTTAAGCAAATTCGAATTTCTACTGAGATTAAGGTTTTGTGCGTTTTCAAGTTAGGACTCTCAGTGACAATGTTCTGATAGCAAGATCTTGCAGGGATTAATGGAAAGAAAAGTGGAAAATGGAAGGACGGGAAAGGGGAAGTGAAGAAACTTGAGGTTGTCAATGGTTATTCTTGCTTAGGGTGGTAGTGAAATATTATGGTGATAGATTGGGTTATCAATTTTATTCGTGCGTTGACAAGTGGTCTGTCAGCCTTTGTGCTTGTTAACCTTTGGCATTGATGTTTGGGGCTAAACATCATTTCTGAGATTTGATCTAATATATGGTCTGTATATGTTATTATGAATATATGCACATGTAACTGGGTCCTAACCAGTCTTGTCCTGTCTGAACACTAGAATAGATCCGTGTATCCGATAGGTAGGCTCTTGGTATATGGGCTGTAACATTAAGTCTAAATCTTGTTTTAACTTCATGACACCTTAGACAACATGATTTCCATTCAATTATTTTGTTGTTTTATAATCCCCTTTTCTTCACTCGCAATGATTTTGGTTTTGATTTTTTCTGTGCTAGTGATTTAATTAATAATTAAATAATGTATCATTGCAGGAGGAGGTTGCTAGAGAATTTGGTATACCACTTCAATTCCAGCGCTTTTGGATTTGGGCAAAGAGGCAGAATCACACATATCGTCCGAACCGTCCATTGACACCACAGGAGGAAGCACAAACTGTAAATTTATTAAATGTTTCTTTTTTCCTTTTGCCATTTTGTACATATTGATATATGTTCTGTTTATCATAATTTTGATTTTTTCTGTGCTAGTGATTTAATTAATAATTAAATAATGTATCATTGCAGGAGGAGGTTGCTAGAGAATTTGGTATACCAGTTCAATTCCAGCGCTTTTGGATTTGGGCAAAGAGGCAGAATCACACATATCGTCCGAACCGTCCATTGACACCACAGGAGGAAGCACAAACTGTAAATTTATGTTCTGATTATCATAATTCCTACTATTATTGAGTTTTAAAATCTGATTATCATAATTTCTACGATTATTGAGTTTTAAACAGTTTGTTCCTTTCTGGCAACTTAAACCTTATGCGGGTAATGATACAAGATGTAGGGCAAATAAGGAGAGCACATATTTCGAAAATACTGTGACATAATATTTGATTTTAATTTACAAAAGAGATTTAGGCTGATTTATTGACAGAAGCCAAGAGAAAAGGTTTTGATTATAATCAGTTGTAAGGTTAAACTTTTGTTTAAAGAACGTACTATTGTCTGGAAAGTCCAAAATGATAGTGGAAAACTCAGGATGTAAGGAACGTATTTATATTGCCATTTTGGGTAGGCAAAAAATTGCTTAAATCTTTTAGGGTTATGGAAGACTGTCTCATTGTCGCAATGGTGAAATGTGCTTAAATCCTATTTGGTATGGATTAAAATTAGATTTTTAGTAGAATTTGATAAAAGTTAATGAACCGCGTGGTCGAAAAGTTGTGAATCCTATGAAATGTGTGGTTAAAATTAATTGGTGACTTTGACTTGATATTTTAATCCAAACCAAACAGGGCCGAATAAGTTACCATCAATTAAGCAAATGGGAGAGTAATCAACCCATTAATTGGAACAAGGTTTTCTTGGGTCAGCTGATATTTACTTTCTCTAGAAAGGAAACAGTTGCAATTGCTATTTTGAGCATGTTTCTCCTGTTGTCTATGTCTGGAGAATGGACTTTCTAATTGATATTTTCTTATAGAATTTCTACCATGAGTGAACGTGCATGTTGTTGGCTTTGAATATGGCTCGATCTTCACTTCATATTTTCCGCTTTGAAAAGTAAAATGGTGTTAATTTACTTTTTTCAAATTGAAAAACATGCCTAGGCATGGACTTGGAAAAGATTTAAGGGTCAAAGGGTTGGACTGGTATCAAACTGGCGGTAAAAAAATAAGTAAATTAATTAAAGCAAAAATTTGGGGGTGAACGATGGTTATTTAACTGGTTTTGAGATTTCCAGTTTTTGGATGAAAACCGCACTGGTTCTCAGTTTTTTCCAGTACAGTTTTTACAACATTGAGTTTTTCCTTTTCTCTCTCTTTAGGGAAGAGGTTTTGGGTTTGGGGTGTCATTGCACTCCATCTTCCACTCCTTGAAAACAAGTACATGCACAAGACTGGAACTACAATGATGTTTGACGAAATTCTCTTTCTTGTGCTTGTCAATTTTCCCATCATCTGCTGTCTGGGTGTTTTCAGTGCCTACTTTCAAGATTGTGACAATTGTTTCCTGAGTTGATTGTTTGTGGTTTCATTTGATTTTTTTCTTTATTATAGTTTTTAAAATATTTGTTCACCCCATAATAATTATATTATACAGGTTGGTGCATTGAGGGAAGTCTCCAATAAAGCTCATAATGCTGAGTTGAAGTTGTTTTTGGAAGTCAAACATGGCCAGGTATCTTTTGTTATTGTAATGTTTGATTCTAGGAAGGCCGGCGTGTAGGTGCAATTGGAGAGAAAAAAATACTAAAGCATTTAAGAGTTGAATGAGCAAAAATGTTAAAACCGAAAAGGCTAAGAAGTACAGAATTTAAAACCCATTATTTACAAGGCAGTTCAATATGCTTATCTATTAATGGAAAATAAAAACTAAAATATTATTTTATTTTATTTTTTTATTAACGAGTCCTTTTCATGTTGTGTTGTCCTACTTTTGTGAAAAAAGAAAAAAAACACGTTGGCGTGTCCGCACTTCTCAGTGTTTGATAGATGGTACTTGAACGTCAACGTTGAAGCACATCTTCACTCCCGGTTTAATTGGATTTTTAATGATTATGTTGATTGTGTAGGAGCTACATCCCTTTCCTCCTCCTGACAAAACTAAGGAAGACATACTTCTGTTCTTTAAGCTTTATGATCCTGAGAAAGAAGAACTCAGGTAATTTGTAGTTTTTCAAAGTTTTCATGTGGGGGTGTGTTATACTATCTTCACCTTTCAATTGTCTTTTGACCATGTGATCTATTTATTTTTTTATTATTATTTTCAGGTATGTTGGTAGGTTTTTTGTGAAAAGCTCTGGCAAGCCGATGGAGATCTTGACAAAACTAAATGAATTGGCTGGATTTGCTCCTGATGAAGAGATTGAACTCTTTGAGGTTTGTCCGATCATTACATATGCATACAGGAATGCAACTGCATATTATAGTATGTAGACCATACACATTATATCTAAGTTGCTTGTTATTTATGAAACATCATTTCATTTGCCAATGTTCTTATTTTTTAATTTTTCAGGAGATAAAATTTGAGCCTACTGTCATGTGTGAACGCCTCGACAGAAGAGCTTCATTTAGGTTTAGCCAGGTATTTAGTGTTGTGTTTTAGTTTTGGCACTTGAATGTATTGATTTTTCTTTCTTTGCTGATTTGTGTACTCTTTCGCTCTCATGTCTCCCAGATTGAGGATGGGGACATTATCTGTTTCCAAAAGAAGCTTCTCCCAGAAGGTGAAGAAAAATTCCGATATCCTGGAGTTCCTTCATTTTTGGAATATGTGAAAAATCGGCAGGTCAATCTCGCACTTCTATAATATGCTTCAAAGTACTTTTATTTTCCTTTTGATAACTAAACTAATCGATGTCGAGCATTAGGCCTTTATCCTCATATACCATATGCATCTAGAATTTTTTCAGTTTTCTAAAATAAAGAAAGCCTTCCGAGACAAAATACACATATTTTACATATTGGCAGTTAACTACATTTGAAGTTGCCGCTTCTATATCTATGGTGGTAGGAGCATTGCAATTTACATGATTGACGCTGTTTTGTGGCACGTGCATGTTACTGACATGATAGGCCATAGATAAATTTATGTGATCAATTCCATTATTCAGACTTGCTGCAGACATATCAGAGAACACCCCATGGGAAATCACCTTATTACTATTATTTTTTTTTTGGGTGAGGGAGCAGGAGTTTGGGCTGGAGGCTGTTGGGGGTGCAACAGTTTAAATTTCCATGACCTATCAATAAATTTAAGCCAAAAAGTAGGATATGCTCGGTGCCTTTTCTGGCTAGCTTGGCCAACAATCAAAGATCTCTTGCCTGCCATTTCAACTGAACTTAATACAGCCTTATCCCATAATTATTCTTGTCAGGCAGGGATATACAATTATTTAATATCCCATCACTTGCTCTTTCCTCTCATTTAAGTCCTTTTTGACTTTTTTGTGGGTATCTACGCATATAACCTTATTTCTGATGTGCTTGCTTCATTTTTAGGTAACCAAGAATGCCAGTGCAAGTTTTCTCACTCTTTTTCAGAATGAATTGATTTTTTGCAGACTGTCCATTTTCGTGCTCTGGAGAGACCCAAGGAAGATGAATTCTGCCTAGAGTTGTGAGTACCTTCTGATCTTATTTTCCTGGACTATTGAAGAGTTTAGTTTACAAGTATTATGCTTATTCCTTTAATTGTAATTTCCTGAGCAAATTTAGTTGGTTGCTTCTAATCTTTTTGACATAAATCTCCAGAGCAAAGAACCACACTTATGATGATGTTGTGGAAAGGGTAGCTCAGCACCTTGGGTTGGATGATCCATCTAAAATTAGGCTTACTCCTCATAATTGCTATTCTCAGCAACCAAAGCCCAATCCCATCAAGTATAGATCGGTTGATCGCCTATTAGACATGCTTGTTCACTACAATCAGGTAGCTCCGACATGAAGTCTTCTACTGTTTTTATATATTTTTAACTGGGGCAGGGGTGTTCTGATGTCGATGGAGTAATAACTTTTTCTTTTCCTTAGATCTCAGATATTCTTTATTATGAAGTACTGGACATTCCTCTACCAGAATTGCAATGTCTGAAGACTCTGAAAGTTGCCTTTCATCATGCGACAAAGGATGAGGTAGGAAGACTACGGATGTCATTGTTGTATTGTTCTTGTTAACCTGATTGTATAAAATCGTATAACACTTAGTATAACTTCTCTTTTCAGGCAGTAGTACTCAATATTAGATTGCCGAGACAAAGCACGGTTGGAGATGTGCTTAACGAGATCAAAACAAAGGTTTGCTCGAACAAATCACATGGCACATTTTTTATTCATAAACTGATACTTCTTTTGTCTTTCACTATTCCTGAAACTATTTGCCGCAGTTATTACAGAAATTATGTTTTACAGCATTATATTTTGTGGGCAAAAAAATATAAGGAAAACTGAAGGATCCACAATTTCTCATGTCTTCTGTAGGTAGAGTTGTCTCATCCAAATGCAGAACTTAGGTTGCTGGAAGTTTTCTATCACAAGATTTACAAGGTAACGTGTCTGCCGACTCTGCCCACTCTGAAGTTTACTATACTTTATTCCTGATATGATGGCATTTACTTTACTTGAAGTCTGAGACATACTGAGCACGATCTTTGGTTTTATGATGTCATACATGTCCTGCTGTTTCCAATTCTGCAGATCTTTCCGCTCAATGAGAAGATTGAGAATATAAATGATCAATACTGGACATTGCGTGCTGAAGAGGTTACTTAACTCTCAGAATCTCCCTCTTTGCTCTATTTTCTCACCATTTTCAAGCACAAAGTTTTCTGTTCAGCTACCTCGTTTCTCCATTAACTTCGAAATTTGGTAATATGCTCATATGCTGTCTGAAAGAATTCAGGAAGATTCTCTTTAGCCACTTTTATTCGGTGATAGTGTATATATGTTCACATATAATGATATACATACACGTGTAACACACACAGGCAGATACACATATGCATACTTACATGATCTCTCTCTCTGAAAATAGCCTCTTACTCTATTTTAGCACTCCATTTTTCTCTCTCACACACAGTTTTGAGTCTTCTGTTCTGAACCGTGGTATATCTTCAACTTTAAAATTTAGTAACGTGGTGTGACAGAATTCTGGAAATTTTAATATCTTGATGCTATCTTACAAAATTCAGGAAATTAACAGTTCTAGATTTGGTCTTATGGTTTGTATAAAACGTTTTCATCATTTTTTGGGTCGGTTTATTATGTTATAATTTTCCATTTCTGATGGATTTTTAATAAGATATTCTTGCTGCGTTACCATTGAAATGTTTCTGGCTTGAATTTGGCTTATTCTCTGTTCCAGATTCCAGAAGAAGAGAAGAACCCTGGTCCCAATAGCCGATTGATTCATGTTTACCATTTTAAGAAGGAGAATGCTCAGAATCAAGTGGTATTTAAGCATTCACATAATTTACATGCTGATTGTCATTTAATGTCTGATTCTTTTTTAACATTGTTATAACAGCAGTGAGCTCAATATGGTTATATATTAAAAATGTGATCATATGTTTAATTGGTTCCCATACAGCAAGTACAGAATTTTGGGGAACCCTTCTTTTTGGTCATTCATGATGCTGAAATTCTAGCGGATGTTAAAATGCGGATTCAAAAGAAATTGCAGGTACCTGACGAGGAATTCTCTAAGGTATTTTCCATTCTCAAATCTACACTACTGATGGTTTTTTAACGAGCATGCAGCACTTCACTAAAAGTTGCTGCTGCCTAATGGTATGTGTAATTAAATTGCTAAGGTTGGACTTTTGGTCGTACGATTTTTTTACTTGTATGTTCAGTGGAAGTTTGCTTTTCTCTCACTGGGACGTCCAGAATATCTTGAGGACTCTGACATTGTCTCCAGCCGTTTTCAGGTCGTCTTTTGAGTGCTAAATTTTTTTGTCTTATCTATTAAATTTATTAATATATTCATTTTCTTTATATAACTGAGGAACTTGTGTTTATTCTCATCTAGAGAAGAGATGTTTATGGTGCTTGGGAGCAGTACCTTGGGTTAGAGCATTCTGACACTACACCTAAAAGGGCTTATGCTGCAAGCCAGGTGAATATTTTGAATCTTAGCTGTTCCACTTCGATGTTAGATTATAGCTTCCACTTAAATGGATAATTTGTACAGGAAAAGCATCCGATTTCTAAACCATCTTTGAAATTTGATGTGAACTTCGATTGTTAGTAATACCTGTGTGGGCCTTTTATCACATTTAACGTTCTCTTAACTAAAGGAAATAAATATTTGGTAGGCGTAAATTCCAATCCTTGTAACTTTTGTTCTTTCTGATAATTGCAGAACCGCCACACATTCGAGAAAGCTGTGAAAATATACAACTAAATGGAATTGCTTCTTAATATTCTTGCTCTGAGGCAACACGTAAATGTGAGGAAGGTGAAATCTGTGATTCGTATAGGAGAGTGTTAACGCAGAAAAAAGGTTAGCTGATGGAAGTTTTTTCTCCCCTCCGCGTTTCTGTACATTTGGTGGTTTGTTAAACTAGAATTAATTTTTGACTTGGAATGGAAAAAGAGGAGCTTTCGCTTCCAAATTTAATTTGCTTTTAGTGGTTGGTATTATATATTTGCTCTCTTCAGGAATTATTTATGGTTCCTGTGAAATTTAATCCTACATACCAAGATTTTGGTTACTAGGGTTAGCCCTTACTATTTCAGCCCGACTCGTTTTTCTTTTCCCTGTATTTTCCTACCCCCTTAATTTGTTGTATTTCAAATTATATGTACAGGGGATAGGGTTGTAAAGGAAACTATTATGCTCCTTTTTAGAGGAGATCTATATTAATAATCTAAGCTTTTACTTTTTTTTGAAGGTTATTATGAGTCGTTTTAAGTTCCACTGCATGTATATAGGTCCTTAATATACTAATGCTGATTTTTTGGAAAATGAAAGTGAAGATTATTATTTTAAAAAAAATAAGTCTCCTTGATGTTCGAACTTCAGAAACCCGAACTGGGAGTGAGTTCCCACTCGTGCTTTTCTTGGATGTGGTAAAAGGCACAACATCCAAATTTTTTGACATTGAAAATAATGAATTCTTGAGTTAAGGTGGCGGTATTTTAATGAAGAAATATTTCCCTTCCAGATAACTAGCGGGGGTTTTAGAAATTGAAGGAAGAATCTTATTCTTAACTAAGAGAAAAATTTCGAAATAAACTTGGAAGCATTACTATTGCCTGATACTAAATTTTGGAAAGTTGTAAAGAATTGGAAATGAGTGTATTTACTAACAGGTTGTAAAACAATAGCGTGTAAATTGGTCACAAGGGAAAAACTGAAAATGTTTGGAAGTACAGACAGGTATAAAGCGAGACATGTTGCAAGGCGGTTTAAACAAAAACCTTATTTAGACTTCTTTCAAACCATTTCTGTGTTTACTGAAGTGACATCTATTAGATTGCCTATCGTAGTTGTTGCAACTCATAATTTATTATTCTTAAAATGGATGTGAAAATTGTTTTTTTTTTTTTTTTTTTTTTTTTTTTTTTTTTTAAATTGTGATCTACGTCAAGATATATATTTGGACCACTGTAAAGGTCTTACACAACTTCGTAAAGATGGTTTTACGAAGGCTCTTAAATAGTGGCACGAAAGTTTGATTCCTCGTGATGATTTGTAAAGGACAATTCCTCTTGTACAGCCAGCTTCACAGAACACGACCAGATAACTCGCAAAGGGTGGATCCCACCTAAATGAAAAAATGGTGAAAAATTAACCTACTCACCCCCTATTGTGTGTGATTTGTAAAGCCCCTGTGAAAGTATCCCCTGTACGCCAAGTGGGGTTCATTTGTAAATAGATATAAAGTAAATGAGTGCAATAAGTGCATACATAAATCGAAATAATTCACATTTCTTTATTAGTCTTCATGTGGAGGATTAACATTTTGCAATCAATGAGACTAAAAATATTCCTAGTCATTTTAACATGAAAGATCTTAGAATGGCTAACATTATTTTTTCAGAGGGCCGTCTTTAGTTTCTCAGCTTGCAGTTTCCCTGAAATTATAGGATTCCTTGGAAATATATTCCATATTAGGGGAGGATTGTTTCTGGGCTAAATCAGACTCTTTTAACAACCAGTAAATGTATTACTAATGAAATAAGTTGACCATGGTAGATTCAGCAGGTTACTGATAAAATTGATAGATTATGTTATGTGCAGTTGTTCATTTTAGATTCATAAACATATCGCGAACGATATTCCATAGTGGATGAGCTAGCTAACAAATTGATGCAACGTGAATCAGCAAATAAATGTGAACGAACACACCAAAAAAAGAAAAAGAAAAAGCACCTAAAGACATGTTGAATCACAAAGAATACCGTGAATTTAGGAATCAAATATTCGTTAATTCTTTTCAAAGAAAACCAAATTCCAAATTCTTGATCTTGTTGTAAAATCGTTGATTCTAATTAATACCGATTTAGGACCAGCAGATTGAAAGAAAGTCAATATTGGGAGAATTTTTCACTAGTTTTTATTTAATTCGAAGTTCAATGCCTTTAACTAAAGTGACAACTCTTATTTAAAGCAAAAGATGATAACAAAAAAAATCTAGATAACGTCAAATATCAAGATAAGGAATATTGTTCAATGAAATTCTGCAAGCGTAAGAGATTGTTGACAAGTAATAATTTTAGGAGTAAAAGTATCATCCCACGAGGAAGAAGTTCTAAATTAAATTTTACTAATTGGTTGTCGAACTCAAATTTAACCATAACAAAAGTGATTGTTTGAATTGTATTTGGTTAACTATTAGTATTATCCTAATTATTATCAAAGTTGTATGAAAATTATATATGAGAAACATGTATTGAGATTTCGAATCCAGCTATTGTTCTCCCATTTCAACTCTCGACCTATGTTATCTAGTGTAGTTTGGATATCATTGACAATTTATAATCTAATTTTATTCAAATATCTCTCCCGAAGGGAGTCAAACCCATTCCTAAACATGACTCGGTACCATTCCTACCCCGAATTCATATGTAAAATAATGCATTCATCCACACAATTACATATGTGATTGCACAAGTCATAAACTATCATTCCTAAAGTTTGTTGAGCCTTGTGCTATTATTATAATGGTCTAATTTTATTTTGAACCTCCCAGATTTAAAACAAGCAACTTGTTTTCTAAATGGTGATCAAGCAGAGTAATAATTAATTAAGCATGCAATATCAATCAATAATACAAATTAACCAAATAAGCGTTCTTTGAATTAAAATGGTAAAACTAAAGGTTTCGTCTTCATCCCAACACTAGAATGTTTAGCCTAGCATATCTATAATGAGATTACAATGAGAATATAGGAAACACATCACCCGAAATATCTAAATGCAGGAAAAAGATGTAGAACCAATTTCTTGCTTTTCAATTTCAAGCCTTGAATCTTCAATCTCTTTATGTTGTTTTGCCTTTAATTATTTACTAGCCTTATTCTCCACGATATAGCATGAAGAATCCGAAATTGGAGCTCTAAGTAGGTTAAATCGCTGTCAAAATTACTTTCCAAGATTGCACGAAATCAAAAAAGGTGTTTCGCACGGGTAGTCACTAACAATTAAAAAGGGATCAGACGACTGTGTAAGGAACAAACCTCTTGAGACAAAGTCCCAAAAAGGGGTGTTTTATTGGCGATGACTTTACAATTGGAACTAAACAGAATGCCTCCAAGGGGCGTAAACATACGAGTACTGAAAAGAAATGTTTAAGTCTAAACTAAGAAATTAAAATTACATATTCTCTGTTTGAGAGTGTTTGATTCGGGGTCATTTACTCTATGTCTTTTCTTCCTTTTATATTCCCTTGATGATCTCTTCATGATCAACCGCTTAAAAACTGTTTAATTGCTTTATAACTGCCAACTTTCTTCATGGTGGCCAACTTATCGTGGAACTGCCGTCTCTAACTGTTGCCACTACTCTTTGTCGTTCAATCGTCTTCAACTCAACTCCTTGAATCGTGAAACGTGATAAGATTACTCAATAAGTATTTCAATAACTGCACTTTTGGATAACCATAACATCTTATGTTTGCTAAGATCTTGGACGCTTCGAAGGTTTGAGCGAGAACAGGGTCATAACTCTGGGTGACTGCAAGGCACTTCATTCGCTCAGATCTTGGGTGTCTTGCAAGTTTGGGCGATGGTGTTACCGCGTTCGTGGGCTTCCACTGTATTCATTAACAACTCTATTTGGGCCTTTATCCTGAATTGCCCAATTGGGCTTCATTCTTTGGGCTATTCGATTTGGGCTGCACTTTTAGCGTGTCAACAATTACCCCCAATATGGCAGAACTAATACCAATTATTAATTTTTGCCATATTCACTTTGTGTTTCCCAGCAACATTTGAAATTTTCAAGAATTTCAATTATTGTTTTCTTCCATAGCTTGAAAAGGCGCGACATAACCCCCAAATACACGCCATTTCATCGCACCACTAAATTACGCCTCATTGTTTCGCGCTTCTCTCTCGCAATATTACTGTTCATCTTCTTGCTTCTCTGCTACGTTTCTCAAGCAAATTTCAACAAAACTTTATTTCGTTCCCAATGGCTGCTTCACAAACCCAATCTGGTGACTCTTTCAGTTTCGAAGACTTCCAGAAAATCCTCACTCGGCCATATATAACTCCGAACTTCCTTGCACCAGCCGATGCCAAACTCAATGAGTTCTATCTAGGTCCTTCATTCAACAACGCCGAGGCCGTCGAACAAGTGGCGGTGGGCCAGTCGTTCCCTTGTACTCAAGGCCCTCCGTTTCTGAGCTCTTTGCCGCTGAGGTCGCTTCGCAAAAGAGGTATTCACACTTAGCCTAAATTTGATGTTATTTTCCGTAGATGGCATGCTTACCTTGTGGGCCATGGTCCTACCAAGGCAATCTTTGATAGTGCTAGGATTTCTGATTTGTTAGAAATCTCTCTTCAACCCCCTATTTTTGATCTAGCGCTTTTTCCTATTGCTTTAAATTTTTTGTCCTCTGAGTATAATACTTTTGTTTTTCCTCTTGGTCCCATGTCCACTACTTTAAAGGATGTTGGGGTCCTAGTAAATCAGCCACCTTTGGGCGATACCATTTTCCCTGGTATTTTGATTTCTGGTGTCGCCCCAAAATTTGACTGAAAACTCATCGAGTCCTATTCAAGCCTGCAAAGCTGTTATAATCACTCGAGCGCTGAGCCTTCCCATGCTGAGCGTGTGGCCTTTCTTCAGATTTGGCTTTATAAATATATTCTGTGTGTGCCAAGCATGAAGCCTTCTATGAGCTATTTACCCATACCGCACGAATTGGCGCGTGGTAGGCCTCTGAATTTGTGTTCTTTCTTTTTGGCTGCCCTCTATAGAGGCATGACTTCTCTTCAATTCCAATTGAAGAATGGTGCATCTAACACTGGTAGTGGGCCTCTTTGGTTCACTCAAATGTGGTTGAGAGCCTATTTTTCATCAGTTGGTGCTCTATCCTTGTCCCTTCATTTTGCTAGCTGCTATGGGCTATTTATTGATCCACTGAGCCCTGTAAATATGTCCAGAAAGGACATCTTTTCATTCTTTTATACTTTGAATTCAATTCCTTCTTTCTTTCCTTTTCCTCCCCCTTTAACTCCAGATTATGTGCAACCTCCATCCACCCTGGACAGTGCGGGCACCTCTCTGCTCGTTTGTGTTTAGTTTTTGACCGGGAGGGAGTTGTTCCATGATATTTTGACTGGAGCCAATGCCGAAGCTGGGGTTGAAATATATGCTCCCCAATTTTTTGCTCGTCAAATTGGTTTTGGCCAAACTTGGCCTGTTCCCCCTTGTTATTC